GGGATCCGAACCCTCGGCGGGAGCGCCGCCGCACTTCCCAAGTGGCACACTGTAGCAGTGCACCACTGGGCCGGCCCCCTGCACAGGGTTTAAATGAACCTAAAAAATGTCTCAGTCCACAAATATATTTTAAAAAATAAATAAATTTTTTAAAAAAAAACTCTAGGAAAAGAGACTACACAATTCTTCCTCATAAATCTATTTCAAATGCCTAATCTAAACCCCTTGTCCTTCTGTTTAAAATACTCTCTTGTGTTCTGCCTTCCAGAGAATCAGAATACAGTCACTCACCATTACTCAGGCAATTGTCTTTCATATGTTTGATTTAGATCATTTCTTTCTTATTTTCTTCAGACCCCTTAACCCACTCCCATTTTTCTTCAGATTTCCCACCACTTCACTTTTTGTCAGCCATCCTAGAATTCTGCCAGAGTCCCTACGTTTTCTTTCCTGGGCAGGACCTAAAAACTGAAATATACTGAGGGCTGGGTCAGTGTGGATAAGTGTGCTATCTACATACAGCTCAGCATTGTGCCTGCTTTAATATCAACAGGGTCTCCCTGACAGCTCTTCTTTATTTTGCAATTCACAGCTTGGCTTCGCACAGCCAGCCTGCCTGAAGTCCTAGTGTAAGAATTATGTAACCTTACTGGAATTTTCCAATGGGAAGAAATCATGTGGCTCATTTAGTCCACTTTCCCACTTACTTAAGGATTTCTCCTACTGCACCCCTCAACTGTTATCCAGCCTCAAGTAACTCAAGAAAATGCCCTTCCGCTACGTGAATGTTGCTTGTTTGTTGATTTAATACATCATAAAATCAATTTAGTGAATCATAAGTATCATTTTTAATATAATAGATTGGGATGGATAAAATAGGATAGACTAGGATAGGAAAAGTTTGAATGGATTATAAGAGTCTATTAAATGCTGTTAAGTGTAAATATCATTTCATGAAACTTGTTTCAGTTGGGGCGAGGGGAGATCATGTATGTGTGTAAACTGTTTCTTACTGTGAGTTATAGTCTAGAAATTCTATATTGCTCTGCAGAATTACTCTTACCAATGCTAAAATATTAATTTGCCTATTCTTTACTTCATCAAGCTTAGCTTTCCTTTAGATTTTTTCAAGGTGCTAGCATCAATTCAGCTCAACTGTACTCCTTGTATTTTGGTTTTTTGTTTTTGTTTTTGTTTTTTTCAGTTAATTTGCTCATTTATGCTGTGTAGCATTTGATCCAGTAACATTTTATTTAAAAATCCTCCCTCTCCCTCTCTCCTCCTTCAACCTCTCTCTCATCCTCTCTC